AGGCAGGAGTCCAGGGGCCGCCCACCCGCTGGCCACGCGGGGACCGGGCCGGACGCCTCCCTGCCCCTCGGAGGACCTTCTCGTCTGTGCGGGAGCCTCGCCCCGCAGCGCGGGCGCGTTAAGTTATTGGACTGTCTACGTATTTATTTTGATGGTTATTTGTCGTCAAACGTTCTGTCTTAATATTTTGTTTTTGCATCCGTGTGTCCATTCCAAATAAATTACTTGACCTGTTCTCTTTTCTACCAGCGGGCTGTGGCGCAGTCAGGTTCCTGCTGGGCGGGTTGGGGGCCTGGGAACGGGGAGGGAAGGGGACCGCAGCCGGGCTGGTCTGAAAGGCACCGGAACCGCCTTTGAATGAATAGTGTCATCTGTTCCGCCTGGCCCACACCCTCCTTTGCAAGCAGGCCAGGAAGTGCCGGGGTGTGGCCCTGGATACCTCCCACTCATGTGGCCTGGGGAGGACAAGGCTGGTGGCAGTGCCTGCTCCAGGAGTTGACTGGCAAACTCCCCCACCGAGGCCAGTGCCCCTGGCCCCTCTCCAGATCAAAGCTCCTGCTGCAGTCGGGTGGGGTGTCCTTCTCCAACTGTCCCCTCCCGCCCACACACCACCTGTCCTGCAGCAAGTGGAAGGAAGCCCTTGGCCCTCCAGCTGCCGGCCCGCAGTACTCCCCAGAGCCCAGCTGCCAGCCCTCCTGGCCAGTGCCTGCAGCACTGCTCTCAAACAGATGGGAGAGAGGTCTGGGCTGTCTCCAATGGTGGGGCAGGAGGCTGAGATTTCTGAGCATCCACAGCCTGGCCTAGGACCATGCCGTTGTCATCAAACCCGTCCCACTCCCTGAGGTGCCTGACAGGTGGCAGCTTCCACCCTCCCTGCCCCAGTTCATCCTCTGTAAGACGGAGATGGATCAAGACAGTGTGTCTGGGTTGCCCAGAGGGCAGGGCACAGGAGGTGTACCCCCCACCCAGAAGATCTGTTGGCGATGAACAAACCAAGGAGGTTGGAAAAGGGGACAGGGCACTGATCCCAGCCCAGTGAGGGCCTTTGTTTCCGGGACCTTCCTAGCTGGAGGATGCCGGCTGGGGGAGGTAGACGTTGGGGAGTGAAGGACAAAACTTGGGCCCTAACATCCATCACTTGCCTCAACTGGCTGGCCCCTGGGCCCCCAACCCTGCCCTACACTGAGGACCTCTCTCACCCAGAGTCTGACCTGGACGAGTGGCCAAGGCCTGCAGGTGAGACCCCCGTCCCTGGTGGGGTTCAAGCAGAGGCAAGTTCTGGCCTGAGCTCTTAGGCTGGAGGGGGTGAGCGGTCTTGGCTCTCTAAGGCCCCTTCCAGTCTGAGGACTAAGGAATTCTGAGGTTTGGGGACTCCACATTTTAATGGCTTTTTTTAAAGAAAGCCCATTGGGGGAGGGATGGCCTTCATGGTCTCAGGAGCATCTAAGGACTCCCATCGAGGTTGCTCTCCCCAGATTGGTCAGTTGGTCACAGCGGCTGGGCTGGCCTGGCCTGGCCTCCCCACGCTCAGTGCCCCTTCCCCCAAGAGCCCAGAGCTGGGGGGTGGGGGCTGAGGGCATGGGAGGTGATCCCAGGCTCTGAGGTCTGTTGTCTTGGTCCCTTCCTCCTGGCCCAGGCTGCTGGCACCCTCCAGTGAGGGCCATCAAGAGACCAAGAAGACGGTGATGTGATGTGGGACCCGGCCCATGAATCAGCTCTAGAATGAAGAGGCTGAAAGAGGGAGACCCCAGGGAGCCCCCCTTCGGGTGGCTGGGCCAGCATCCCTGGTGCAGTTCTGGGGCCAGAGGGGGTTGGGGCTTCTCCGCTGGACTCCCCCACACAGTGAGGGCCGTTACCTTAGTCCTCCCAAGCCGTGCTTCCCTGATCTTCTCGGCCACCACTGCAGGCTGGGGGTGGGCAGTGGCTGGGCAGAGAGCTCCCCCTCTCCCGGGGTGTGAGCAGAGCTGTCTGGGTGGCAGCAGGGGGACTTGGAGGCTGGACACATGACCGGGGTCAACCTTGGGTGATTCTGTCCTCTCTGGAGCCCTGGGAACCAGCAGCAGGCCCCCTCCTCCAAGAAGCCCTCAGCCTCTGCAGCTCCATCCCTCGCCCCGACGCAGGCAGACCCCGAGGTGGGAGCCGGCAGAAATCGCGGCGGAAAAGGTCCTGAAAGAGTTTATTGCCAATCCATGTCCGGGGGCAATGGTCACCAGCTTTTGTCCTTCCTCCGGGGAATAGGCTTTCTCCACAGCAGCAGCAGGACAAGGATGTTGACGGCAGCCTGCACATGGCCGAAGACGGGGACGCCGAAGCTGCGGTACAGGAGGCCGCCCAGGGTGGGCCCGAAGGTGCGGGTCAGCGGCTGCACAGAGGCACAGAGGCCCAGCATGGTCCCTGCGGGGTGGAGACGGGACTCAGCCCCGGGCAGGTCCCTCTGCAGGCCACCCGCTTCCTGGACACAGCCCGGTGTGAGGTAGTCCCCCAAACACCCACTGGGTCTCTCCACCTGCCTTCCCCTAACTTCCAGACCCCCCATCCCCGCCCAGACCTTTGGAGTGAAATGCAGGGTCTGCTCCCTGAGGACCACCCAGCCACGCAGGGGCAGCACAGGGTGCTTCCTGGATCTGGGGCTGAACCTTCTCCCTACTCCAGAAAGTTCCCAAGCGCAGGAGGAGCCTGGGAAGGGGCCGCAGGTCACAGACAGCAGCCCCACCCTCCCAGGCCTGCCAGGGAGATGGCACCTGCGCCTGGGGCCAGGAACCTCCCGCTCAGGAGATCCATTGGGGAGCTGGCTCTCAGCTCTTTCCCAGGTCTGTGCCCGCCACTCAGGGCTGGTGATGGGGGAAGGGGGGACCTGGCCAGGGTCCTGTGAGCCACCATGGGCTTCTGGGGCCAGGGCTCACGGTGGGCACAACACCCCTAGTGACACCCCCATATCCCCCCTGGCCATCAGCTCTTTCTCCAGACACCCATCCCCCACAGCCCTCCTATGGACTCCCTGAAATGCCCCCATGGGGCTGGGGAGGGGCTTCTGGGAGAGCAGGTAGGGCCTCCCACCTGCCTCCTGCAGCCCCAGCGATGAGAGTGACCCCGCTTCCCAGGCTCACCTGGCTGCCCCCTCCTGAGCCTCAGCACTTTTACCCAACAGCCCAGATCTCCACGGCCCTCCAGTCAGCTGTCCCCAGAGTACACATGCACATGTGTGGTTGTTGTTACCACTCGGACAATGTGGGGGGGGTATTCACATTTCATAAGTGAAAGCCCCCCAGGACTCAAGGTGGGAGACACCCTCTGCCCGATTCCCAGCTCCTGAGGGTGGCGAGCTCTGGTCCCAACTACCCAGAGGGTCCCTAGCTTCAGAGCCCAGGCCTCTAGGTATCGGAGATCCAGGGCCTGCTCAGCCGGAAGAGGCCTGGTGAGGCCCCACCTAGGCTCAGGGCCCGGTGGAGGTGGGGATTTGAGAGCAGCCTCTCCCACTGCCCACACGCCCTAGGTCCCTAGCTTCAGAGCCCAGGCCTCTGGGTATCGGAGATCCAGGGCCTGCTCAGCCGGAAGAGGCCTGGTGAGGCCCCACCCAGGCTCAGGGCCCGGTGGAGGTGGGGATTTGAGAGCAGCCTCTCCCACTGCCCACACGCCCTGCAGACACCAGGGAGCAATTACCGCCCCCTCTGCGGGCCGGATTCCCAGGCTGGTGCTGGGAACCAGGTCCTGGCTCCTTCCAAGCTGAGGGTGGTGCCTCAGGCATGACGTGGCCCTGGTGGCCTGGGCCTCCTCCTACTGCCGTCATCTCGCCAGGCCTTACTCTTCTGCTCCCTCTCCTGGCATCTCCAAAGTGCCAGCCCACCTCCTCCAGGAAGGCTTCTGGCCCAGCCTGGCCCAGCTCATGCAGGGACCTGCTGTCCTAGCACCATGGAGACATAGTCCTGGGAGGCCTCGGAGGCCCCAGGGAAGCCCTGAGAACAGGTCTGCCCCTTCCAGGCCTCTAGCCTTTGGTCTGCTTCTCCCAGGCAGGCAGGTGGATGGAGGGTCAGCCAGACCCTGAGCCTCCTGGCCCTGCTGCTGGGAGTGCTTTGGCTCAGCCAGCCCGTAGGAGCCCACCGAGCTCACAGCGTGCACCTGCACTGTGCCTGGGCAGGGCAGGGGGCAGGAACTCAGCACCGTCAGGACCAAAGGACCCCCAATCTGGATGGGGGGACTCTCCTAGGCCTCAAGAAAGAAAGTTGGGTCCAGAATGGGAGCTGCGGGGGTCTATGTCTTGTGGGGCTCTGTGTCTCCTAGGGTGGCCTGGGAGCTTCCTAGCTGCGTTCATTCATTCACTCACTCATTCGTTTAGGAAGCACCTGAGCACTTATGTGGGTTGGGGGAGGGGACAGAAGCCCCCCTCAGCCTCCCAGGCTGGCAGGCAAGGCCCTCGTGTGTTCCCCTCGTCTGCCCCTCTCCTGTTTCTCTGGCTCCCTGGGCTGTCTTCCTAACTGGCCTCTGCCGGCACCTTTGAAATCTGCGCCTTTGCTCAGCCGGCCACTGCCTGGCCTGCTGCCAGAGCTGAGCCAGACGCCACCTCCGGGAAGCTCTCCTGCCATCCTCCCGGCCTGACCCCGGACTGGTCAGCGGGGGCTGGTGCTGGGCTGGGTGGTGGGCAGGATTCTCACCTGGGCCCTTGGGCTGCCCACCCCCCACTCAGACACCCGCTTCCCAGGGAGGAGGGCCTGCCCCTCACCGGTGTCTGAGGCTGCGACGGCCTTGGTCAGCATGCTGTCGGTGACCACGTTGAGGGTGCCCATGCTGAAGACCAGGCCGGGCACCAGGAGGCAGAAGTGGAACACGTTGGACATCAGCGCCTGGCGGGGTGGGAGTGGCTGAGCTGAGCGGGGGCTGTGCGGTTCACGCGGGGCCCATCCCTGAGGTCCTGCCCGTTCCCTTCCACCCTGGCCGTTCGCCCGACGGAGGTGGCTCTGGGTGGGGGTGGAGGGGCTGGGGCCCAATGTGACACGGCCTGAGGCAGGCCCAGGGGCTCATGCACAAACTGGGCTCCAGGCAGGCCTGAGCAGCTATGCCCACGTGCAGGGGTTCAGGGGAGCAGCCCAAGGGGGGCGTTCTCACCATGGCCAGTCCTACCACGATGAAGACCAGCACGCTGGCCCGGACCAGCACTTCCTCCGGGAAGCGGCTGCTGAGCCATCCGATGACGAGGCCCTGGGTGACCTAGGCAAGGGCGAGGGTGTGGACGTGGGGGAGGGGGTCTGGACTGCGGCCAGCCCTCCCACTCCCAGGCCACCTCCAGATGCTCCGCAGAGAAGGACCCTTGTCATCTGCAGCCCTTGGGGGTATCCCCAACCCCCAGTAGCAACCACATCCAGGGCAGAAGTCTAGGCCCCATGGTACTCAGGCTCCAATGTCCCTGGGGAGATGGGGTTTCCTCAACACGAGGGCAGAAGAGCCATAACAGGGACACCAGGGACATGACTCAGTGGGACAGGCCCAGCCCACAGGCCGCTCCCAGGCCACGGGCGAGGCTCCCTATCTGGCATCTCACCTCCTCCACCAGGCAGGAAGTGCTCAGGGGCCCAAACACCCCAGGGAGGGGAGAGCCGAGAGCTGAGAGCCCGCCACTGGCCTGGGGCATGAGCTGGAGGGCGGCTGGGGTCAGCCTGCTGGGCTGGAGCCCCTGTCCTCGGGCAGGTGCAGCCCTGCAGAACAGACCCAACAACCACTGTCCCCACTTCCTGCCTGGTTTCCAACCAGAACCATAAACGTCCTTTTAAAAACCCTACTTTCACGGTGGCTTTATCTCAGATTTTTTTTTTTCTTTTTAAAGGAAGATCTATTTGACAAACCTCACTCAGCACAACACACTTGAGGAAATCACAATACCACAAAAGGTTTAAATCCAGACCTCGGCACTTCACACAAACACCGAGACCAAGATCTTAACGTGTCAGTATTGCGTTTCAATTTTCCCATTTCCTTAAAAAAAGAGTAGATGCGCCTTACAGACTGTCACACGAGCCTGGAGCTAACGAAGTGGACAGCCGCTCACTTGCCTCTGTCCCTCCACCTCTCCCGAATGGTCCGAGGCCACCTAAGGCTTCCCCGTCCCCTCATCCCCTCCGCTACACAGCAGCCAGGGCCAGAGGGGTCCTGCCTCTGCTCAGACTCCTCCTGCAGCCCCCACCCCACTCTGAGTAAATCTGGTCCTTCGTGGCCCTGGAGACCACCCTCCCCCATAAGTGTCTTCCAAGTCTGGTCCTGTCCCCTGCCTGGCTCAGCTCCGCAGTCCCCCAAAATGTCCCCACCTCAGGGCCTTTGTTTGTACTTGCAGCTCCCCACACCCCTGCCACAGTGTCCCCTTGGTTTCCTCACCTCCAAGTCAATGGAGCCCCTCCCACTGCCCCACCTAATATAGCGCCTTCCGTATGCTAAAGTCCTTTTAATCTCTTCTGCTGGGCGTGTGACCCCTGGCATTTCGCAGGTGTGTTGGTTGGGGGTGTGTCTCCTCCAGTGGAATGGAAACTCGCCATCACTGCGGTGACCACGCCTGGGGTGGCAGGCACTCAGTAACCCCAGCAGCTCCGTGTTGGCCCCCTCCCGCATGCTCTCTCAATGACTAGTGCCCAGGGGCAGCGTAGGTGAGGGCACAGTGGCTGGGCCACCACGGGGGCTCCCGCAGGAGGGTCTTCAAGGACAGAGTTCTGCAAGCCCACTGAGGCGATGACCTGCGTCCCACAGGTTAGGACCATCTGGGCTGCCACGCCCCCCAGCCCTCACTCCAATAACCCCCCCTCCACTGGGAGCTGGGCAGGGACGCTGTGGCCCCCTTGGGAATCAGGCTGCAGCTGGGTGCACCTCAGGGTGAGGCAGGATATGGTTTGCTGTAGAACCAGCTGTGGGGACCAGGTTGGGGGTTGCCTCTTGGGGACCCTCAGTGACCACCCCCACCCTGACTGTGGGTGGGGAGGTGCTTAGCAGACACAAACCCAGGCCCCAACCCCTGCCCTCCACCCACAGAGGTCCCAGATGCAGCTCAGGCCCCAGCCCTGGCTGGGCTTGGGGCCAAGGGTTCTGGTTCACCCACTCCTTGGGGGCCCATCCTCCCCTGCCCTCCTCCCCTGTGTTGGGGTCCCCAGGCCTTGCCCGGGTTCCTTCCCCTATCCCTGCTGCTCCCCGAGGCTCAGTTCCCCCCACGGTGTCGGTCACCACCCCAGGAAGGACCCCACTGCAGCAGGGCAGGCCCAATCCCTCCCCCAGCACAGGCCGGGGGCTGCAGTGTCTGTCCCTGAGGGTCTTGAGGGTCTGCAGGTCTGGGCTGGGCTGAGCGTGCGCCCCCAGGCGGCAGGAGCAGCCTGTTTAGAATAGGCTCCCATGGCCCCAACTTGGACGATCATCAGTGCTGCCGTTTACCTCTTCCCCAGCACGGGGGCCCACCCGGCCCACAGAGCAGAGGCCCTCCCTGCCCATGGTATGGTGCTGGCCTCTCCCAGGAGTGGCTATTTTAGCATCAGGGTCCAGTCCTGGGCTTGGAGGCACAGGGAGCAGATGGCTCAGAGGTACCAGGAATGCCACACACTTCCGGCGAGGTCGAAAGCCCCTTCCCCCACTGCCCAGCGGGTCCCAAGAATAGCCCCTCCTGTGCTCCAGCTGTCAGGCAGATGTCCTGGGTGGCGGAGGCACGTCGCCATCTGTCCCTGCCACCTCAGGATCTAGTCCAGATGCCCAGAAGGAGCTGGGGTAGAGGACGGCTGGGCTTGGACAGGGCTGGCCCTGGGCAGGGAGCTGGTGGGCCCGGGGAGCTGGCAGGCGGGACACCCCCACGTCAAACTGCAGCAGGGGACCTCCCGACCAGCGCACATGAGCCGCCCCGGGTGCGCTGCAGACTCCCTGCTCGGATGGGACCCCAGGCCCCTGGGTGGACAGAGGCCGTGACACTGAGGCCTGGGGCCATGCAGGGCCTGAGTGCAGACCCCTGTGTGGGGGCCTGGGCCTTGGGCAGGGGCGGCAGAGCTGCCTGCTGGGAGGGAAGAGTAGGAGGAGTGGTCAGGGGGCACGGGGGCCCAAGCCACCTGTGCAGGTGACCAGAGAAAGTGGAGCCGAGGAGGCACGCGTGCCCCTAAGAAACCGAGTCAGCCACGCTGCGAGCCCGCAGGAGACCCTGCCCCTGCCCCCAGCAGCCGGCACCGCTCACCATCTGCAGGATCCCGAGGAAGGACATGAGGTAGCCGGCCTGGGCGGCCTCCAGCCGGAAGAACTCCATGGAGATGATGGAGAACATGACCATGAAGAGTCCTGCAGGGCGGGGCGTCAGGGCGCGGGCTCCACCCCACGTGGCCGCGCCCACCCCCATCTCACCTACGTGACCAGGGAGACCCTTCTCTGGGATTCTGCCTCCCCTTGGGGTCGCTAAGCTGTAGACTGTGAGCCAGAAGGTGCCAGGAGAGGCTGGGCTGACCACGTGGGAGGATTTGACCCAAGGCCCCCCCCCCAAGACCCCTTTTATGAAATGTGGTGGCTCAGTTTCAGTTACTGCAACCAGAAGAGCTGGCCCAGGTGGGTGGGTGGGCCAGGGGGTGGGGCCTGGCCAGGCCTGGGCTCGGCAGCCCCTCTGCCCGGCCGCAGGCTTGGCAGGTTCTGCACAAGTGGTGGAACTTTCTGCTGAGGGGAGGGACGAGGTCTCACTGATCTGTTCTGTCCTGCTCCTTTGCAGCCTGGCTAGAGGACCCCGGACTGGGTTTCTGAGTGATGGGGATTGCTACTGGGCAAAGCCACGTTTGGGCTGGACCATGGTCAGTGATGCCCTCGGGTGCCCTTCACCAGGTGGCTGGGATGAATGTCTCTAGATGCCTGTTTCACACTTACTGTCTGCCTCCCAGACTGTCCCCAGAGGACTCGGAGACCCCAGGGGCACAGCAGACTGAACGTGAGGTGTGCATGGATCTACAAGCCAGGCCCTCTCCCCGTGACACAGGGACCCCTTTCTTGCTTCCACAAGGGCCCTGATGTGCTGATTGGGAGGGTCGGGAGGGAAGCAGGAAGACTTTTTTGGGTGGGGTGGGGTGGCTGGCCGGTACAGGGATCTGAACCCAAGACCTTGGAGTCATCAGGCTGCGTTCTAACCAACTGAGCTGACTGGCCGGCCCTGGAGGACACTGTTTCTGTCTCCTCCCTCCTCGCCTGTGGGACCACATCTGCATGAACCATGGCTGCCCCCTCTCCGAGAAGGATGTGACGAGACGTGGCATAGACGAGGCTTGAACAGAGGGCAGCCTTGGAGCCCAGGACGCAGGGCATGAGAGGGGCCCGGCACTGACCACAGACTCTGTCCCTGGGGCCTGGAACCCTCAGCCACCCCGGGCTCCGGATGCCCGTGGAGTGGGCAGCTCGAACTCACCCGAGGGGAAGCTGGAGATGACCTTGACAAGGAACACCGGCAGGACTTCTGGCAGCAGCAGCAGGCGGCTGATGGCCTGCAGGTCAAACACGCTGGCCTTGGGCCCGCCTGGGGCACCAGAGAGCCCAGTTAGACCGCTAGGGGCCCCGGCCCCAGCGCCCTACCCGGCCTCGCCTGGCTGCCATGGCTGCGGGCATCGCTGCACCCCAGACCCACTGGCCGGGGGAGAGGCCCCCTTGCACCCAGCTCTGGGTTTGTTGTCCGCCCGTGGGACAGCCCCTGACAACACTCCTGGCCCCCGGGTGAGCACTGGGCAGCTCGTCACATGCCCACCAATTTCCCACAGGCCCTGGAATTCCTGGAGGTGCTCAGGAGACACAGCACCTATGCTCCCAGGTGACTGGCCCGGACCTGGGCAAGGAGCGCTGGAGGCCCTGGGACACTCACGACGAGGCCGAGGAGGACAATGCTAGCGGGGCACTCCAGCAGGCCTGGCCTGCTCAGGTGCCAGCTGACGGGAGCTCCGCCTCACAGCGACCGAGCGTCCGGGGCCACCCCTGGCGGGGCTTACCTGGCGGGGCAGCCTGGGCACTGGTGCTGGCCTCTTTGGTGCTGGCAGGGATGCAGGTGAAGCTGAGGACGGCTCCCAGGAGGTTGGCCATGAGAGCCACGATGGCCGGGTACTGGATCCTGAAGGCAACAGTCTCAGTGGCACGGGGTACCCCCGCAGCATGCCCCCTGTCCTTTCAGTCATACTAAGGCCTCAATCATCCTCGCAGGGGACGGTCATCTCCCAGTCTGCTGAGGTGCAGGGAAGGCCCCAAAGGACTATGTGTGTGTGCATGTCTCCGGGGAGGAGGTTTCAGAGACCTGGGGATCCCCACTGTGTAATGGGGGGTCATACCACCTCCCTGTCACAGGTGAAGACAGGCCAGCACTTAGTGGGCCCTCGGAAACCGCCTCCCCTACCTGCAGGAACCCCCTCCCCATTTTCTAGAGGAGGAGGTGCCTGCTGGGCCTGGGAGGGTTTTGGCTGGGGAACCCGGAGCTCTGAGAGGCCCCAGATGCGACCTTCCAGCTGCCTTCCCGCCCACCCACCCGCGACTGGCTCCCCCTCAGCTTTCACTTCTGAGGACGTGGTTCCCACCACGCGTCACCACATGGACACTCCAGTGCGGCCCTCCAGAAGGAGCAGGCAGGCCTTGCCACCTGGGGACACAGGCACTGGGGGGCTGGCCTCCGGGCCTGTGCACAGCTGGACCACCCTTCCCCTCAGCACTCGAGCAAACTCCTAGACATCCTGCAAGGGCCCTTCTTGGTAAGCTGCCCCCCCATCCCCGGCCAGCACCCTATCCTCTGGGACCCTGGTCTGAGCACGTGCTCTTCGGACAGCCAGTATTCAGCCCCTGAGGACAGCGAGCCTGGGTTGGAGCCTGAGGCGAAACCCCAGTGGCCATAAGATGACAGAATAAATGTGTGAGCCACTCACACAGACAGCCGAGGTCCTGCCCTGACCCTGCCAGAGCCCCCAATCTGTCCTGGTTGGGGCAAGACACGGTAGGGGTCAGGGTCCTGCACCTGCACCGAGGCCAGCCACGAGCTGTCCCTGCCCTCCAGGGAGCTCGAGGAAAGGCCTTGCCCTGGCCCTCCACAGCCGTGCACACATATGTCCTCGTCAGAGCTCTGGCAGGAAGTCCCAAGCAGGGAGGGACACAGGGAAGTCACTGGGGTCAGGACAACAGGCAGGCCTGGCTTTGGCTCCCTCATTTCTCAGGCTGGGACCGCCCGGGCTCAAACATGTCACGGCCGCAGGGCTGGCACTCGCCCCATCTGCCTGGACTGCTGGCCCTCCCTTCCCTGCCCACCTGGGCAGCTCCGCCCCCCTCTCCCACCTCCCAGGAGGCTGAGTATTCGGGCTTTCTGGCTGCCAGGGCTCCACGAGTGGACCCTTCCACTGACTGGCAGGCAGGGAGGGTCTGAGCATGCTGGCCCCAAGTGAGGCCTCTGCTGGGCCCAGTGGAGGGACAAGTCTGGGTGCAGGTTCTGCAGCCCCCTCCTCTGGCTGATGTGTGATGTGGGAACACCCTGCCCCCAGTGGCCAGCCCCAGAGAGAAGGGCCCTTTCTCCTGGACTCTGGCACAGAGGCCACACGTCAGTGCCAAAGGCCTGGCTGGGAAGGGACAAAACCAGCCTTCTTTTTGCCAGATGCCCTGGAAACACAGGGCAGAGGCGCCCACTTAGGTGGCTATTTTGGGACACTGGTGACAAGCAAGGGTGGGTGGCAGTGGACCAGGCCCCTTCTCCCCTGATCTTGCCCATCCCTTGAGGGGTGACCAAAGGCCAGCGCTGCCCTGGGGAACAGCAGAGCCTGGGGCTGGGGGCCTGGAGGGCCTGGGAGAGACTCAAAGGGCCCCCAATCCCCCAGGGCCCCATCAGCCAGCTGCCTGGGGAGGCCTGAGGTGTCCTCCGCACTCAGAACTGTCTCCGATCCCCAGAACAAAACACCAGAAAGGAAGCTGGAATGCACAGGAAATTGGCCAGGGCAGCCTGAGCTGGGCCTCCGCCCGCGGGGCTGCTCAGCTGGGAGCCAAAGGCCAGCGCTGCCCTGGGGAACAGCAGAGCCTGGGGCTGGGGGCCTGGAGGGCCTGGGAGAGACTCAAAGGGCCCCCAATCCCCCAGGGCCCCATCAGCCAGCTGCCTGGGGAGGCCTGAGGTGTCCTCCGCACTCAGAACTGTCTCCGATCCCCAGAACAAAACACCAGAAAGGAAGCTGGAATGCACAGGAAATTGGCCAGGGCAGCCTGAGCTGGGCCTCCGCCCGCGGGGCTGCTCAACTGGGAGCCCCCTCAGCTCTGCGCCCTGATGCACAGCTTAGGTGGCTCCCCAGGGGCCCCTCTTACTGGTGCCTCCTCCTCGGGACCTGCCCAGCTGCAGCCCCACCCCGCATGGAGCTCCAGCCCATGTCTCATTCAACACTTTGTACAAACTGAGCCCGGACTGTGAGCGCAGGGACAGTTCAGTTTATCTTTACCTCCACCCCCACTTCCTTTTGGTTGAATGAATAGACGGGAGGCTGGACGGACAGACGCGTCGAGCCATTGAGAGGGCCCTGGGCAGGACTTGGGGGACCTGACCCTCTGTCACTCTGTCGCGGCTACCTCACTGGGTGGCCTCACTTCCTCACAAGCACACGAGGGCTGGGGTCCCGGCATGTCCTCCCTCTGGACACCCCCTGGATCTGTGGGAGTGCTGGCCGCCTGGCTGTCCTGGAGTCCAGCCCCCTCCCCGCCCCCACTGCCACCTGCATCCTGCCCCGCCCGCTGCCCAGAGAGACCTTTGGAAGCGGCAGCCCACAGCATGGGCAGGTGGTCACAGCAGACACAAATGCGACCTTTCACCCTGACCTCCAGGGCCTGGGTTTGCTGACTTATCTGGAAGGTGGTGGCCCAGTCAGCTGCCAGGACTCAACACCTTTGTCTCCTCCACCCGACCCTGTCTCCTGCCTGGCTCTAAGGTGACAATTCCTCACCACGCTGGCTGCCCTCCCTACTTGCTATGAGGCTCCAAGAGGTGATGGTACATGGCTGAGGTCACTCTGCCACCAGGAGCTAACCAACAGGTGGGGCTCCGAGGCTGTGCACCCTTCTCCTGTCCACCTGGGGGACAGGCTGGGGTCATCTGGGAGCCAGCTTCCAGTGACACCTGGCTCACAATGGGGAGGGGAGGGGGCTGGGCTTCATGACCGCCAGGCGGCCGGCGCTCCCACAGATCCCGAGAGTCACTGGACGTCCAGCCCGGGGCTCGGGAGAAGTCACCCTGCCATCACATTCCACATCCCGGGATGCGGTGGCTAGAACCGTGTCTGAAAATAGAAATTTTGTGGGGCTGCTCCTGACTCAGCTTCCCTCTGGCTTCCAGAGCCCTAGAAAAAGGGCCTAAAGCTCTCTGTGGCCTTACCCTTCCCAGCCCCCTGTGTCCCGCAGCACGTGGTCGCCCCACTTCCTGACTACACAGGCCTCCAACCAAACCACAACCTCCTTCCTGCCCCGGGGCCTTTGCTTGGGCTGATCCCTCCGCCTGGGACACCATCTGACCCAATCTCTCATGCCACAGTGACTTCTCGAGATGGTCCCCCTCAGCCATGTCACCCTCAGCCACAGGTGCCCTGTGCCTGTGCGTCCCAGCTCTCAGAACACCCCAGTGCCGTCTGCTCTTCCCAGAGGTGGGTGCGAGGCCTAGCCTCGGTGAGCAGCGGGGTGGGAGGCAGGCCACTTGGCTGGCCCTGTGGGTCACTCCTGTCCCAGAGCCCTGCAGGCAGCCCCCATGTCTGCTCATTAACTTGCAGGGGAAGCTGCCTGGCACGGGGGTGGAAACCTTCTGTGAGCAGGGTGAGGCTCCCCGTTCCCTCGCCCAGACTGAGGGGCCCCAGGTGACATCCGAGGCCCACATTCCGAGGCCTCAGGGACCAGATAAGGTGCGCAGCTGAGGTGTGCAGCTGAGGTGTGCCGAGTCACCCAGGACTCCACGGGGGCAGCTCACTGCCCACTCTCAGCCCAGGAGGCAGCTGCCTGTGCGCCAGGGCCTGTGACCGGATGCTCTCCCAGTCTCACTCTCAAATTCTCCCTAGGCCTGGTTGGAGTCAGTTCAAATCCCAGCCGCCTCCAGGGGGACAGAGCCCACCCGGGGGCTGAGAGCCTGGGACTGACTGCATCCCAGAGGGGACGGTGGGTCTCCTCCAGCCCCAACCGTGGGGATAAGGGAAATCCCTCTCCCTTGGAGGTGAAACGCCCCCTCATCAGCACCGTCCTCCTTGGGTCTAAGCAGTCCTAGCCCCACACACAGTCTGTGGCCATAGCACGAAGGCTGCCCCAGACTACAGACTACAGGTAAGTGAACAGGTAAGGCTGTGTGCCAATAAAACTTTACTCACAGACACAGGCAGCACCTGGATTTGCTGATCCCCACTTCACGCAGCCAGGTTGATAGCTGGGATTTATTCACACACAGCCTGGGCCTCTTCCCTGACCCCAGGCCCACGTCAAGGTGCCCCTCAGCACTGAACTTGGTCTGCGGGCAACTCAGACTCAACGCGTCAAGCACTAACTCCTGGTCCCCTCCACCCCTGCAAACCGCTCGCCCTGCAGAGGCCCCCATCTCAGTGGTGGCGTCTCTATCCCTCCAGCCGCTCAGGCCAAAGACTTTGGGGTGCTCCCCCACTCGCTGCGTCCTTCGTGCCCCGTGTCCGTCTTCAACAAATCCCACTGGCTCCACCTTCAGAATGGATCTCAGGTCTGAGCCTCCCTGAGCGCCGAGCTGACCCTCCCTAGGCCTGGCCTCCTCACCACCCCCTCCCATGCCCTGCTGCAGCCTTGCCACCCACCAGACCCCACACCTGCACCTGCCCCGAGTTCTCTGTCCTCACAGCGGGGACACATTACAGAGGTCACCATGGAGCCACCAGCCCTCTGCTCAGCACCTAGTGGTGGGACACCTGGGGCAAAGTCAGAGCCCCCTTGCTGCCCAGCCCCCTCCGACCCTTTCTGCCTCACTCGGTTCCAGACACCCTGGCCCCTTCCTTTTCCTGGGAGAAGCCAGGACGTCCTGGCCGTGGGGCCTCTGCACAGCTGGAAGGTGCAGCCCATCTCGTGCGTATTGCCTAGGGGCAGCTGTCTGTGCACCCGGGGAAGGGAAACCCCATGGGGCAGGGGTCTTTGTCTGGCTCCGTTGGTGTGTGCTGAGTGACTCAGGGCCCGGGGCCTCTGCAGACAGCTGGACCTCCCAACCCTGAGCTCCAGAAGCTGGACCCAAACCAGTTACCCCAGTGCCTGTCTCTGTGGCTGGCAGCGGATGCCAAGTCCACCTCCTCCACTGCTGCCTGGGCGGCTAGGGGTGGGGCATGGCTGGGCCTCACAGCGGACAGGGGCACTGGGTCCTGGAGCCTGCCTCCCGTGTTCTCCATGAGGGGATGGGGGTCGGGACCATAAACACGACCAGTACTCAGGCCCCAGCGCCCTGGGCGAGCACACCTGCGGCTGTGTGGACGCTGCAGACGGCACGGCTTGGGGTGCAACCGAGTGTGCCTCCTCCTGCCCCGTCTGGGTGGCACAAATGCAGAGCCACAAGGTCACCCTCCCACGCCCCTCACAGCATTCTGGGCGCCAGCTAGAGGCCTGCAGGGTCAGCTCTAGCCACAAGGGCCCTTCCACTACCCCCGTGTCTTGGGTGTGATGTGAAGACCCTGAGAAAGTCTCCCACCCCAACTCTGCACAGCTCCCAGCCCTGGGCCATGGATGGGGACTGGGAACTCTATGGGGGAATTACACCCTTTCCTGGGCCTCAGTTTCCCCACTCATCAGAGGAAACATCCAGGTTGGCCTTACTGTATATAAATGTCACAGTTATAAAGCACCTCAGATCTTGGGATGAAAGGAGGCAGGGAAGCTCATGGAATGTTCTAGAAGGTGTGGGCAGGGGTGAAAGCCATCTTGGAGGCTGGTGGGAAGGAGACAAAGGCAGGTGGGGGAGGCCAGCAGGGAGGCTGCAGGCTGAGCTTGCTCCTGTGTGCCTGCCACCCCTCAGCATCCCCGTGAGCCAGTGAGGGCTGAGGGACCCATGTCACAGGTGAGAAAACCTGGCGAGGTAAAGAAACAGGGCTGGACCAGCGGTGAACCCACCCGTGAGGGCCCTGCATGCAGCATGGCCACCTGCTAGTGCCCAACCGTCCTCCCTGTGCCCTCTTCATGCCCGTCCTCACTCTAGCCACCCTGGGGAGACAAGGGCCCTCAGTGGCACGGCCCCCCACACGCTGGCTCCTCATCCGTCCCCTCCACCCACCTGGCCCTGAGCGTGAGCTGCCCCTGCTGCCTACCTGGGCTGCCCCTCCACAGGCGCTCTGATGTCCCCATCCAGGAGCACCCTCCAGCAATGTGCCACTCACACCCGTCAGCCAGCCCTGCCCTCTCCCTGGGGTCCTTCCCATGGGCTCTTCCACCTTGAACAGAGCCCACCTGCACCTGCCTCTGCTGCCATCACAGCCCTCGCTAACTTCCCCTCTGCTCTCCCTGCTGTCTCTTGAACCAGGCTTCTGCAGCCCTGCCCAGATCCGGAGATGACCTCCCTGCTACACGTCCTTGGTCACTGCCAGCCTCGGCTTACTTGAAAGCACAGGCGCGAGGGGTCCCTGCCCTCTGTGAACCACACGCCCTCGGCTGGCAGGATGCGCTCTCTCCAGGTTGTCCTTCCCTTCTCCACAGCACCCTCGATGGCACCCAGCCTGCTCAGACCTCAGCACAAGGCTGCTGGGCTCCCCCAGGGCCCGCCCAGAGCCAGGGGCCTTGGCATCCCACCTGTTGGCAAAGCCAAGCCAGAATCTGCCCTCTGCCCTCGCCCCCATGGCCACCCTGCTCTCCCTGCAGTAGCCGCCCCATGGCCCTCCCTGAGCTGCTGCTCACCCCACGCTCAGCACACGGCCCTGCTGACGACGGCCCCGGGCTGCAGGGCCTGTGCATGTGCCATTTCTTTGCTTCCCGGTCACCTGCTTCAGGTCTCTGTTCAAATGTCACCTCCTCAGAGAGGCCCTGTCTGTCTAGTCCCTGATCCTGCTTCCCTGAGCCTTACTTTTTACACGATGTAGTTCAACCTGACATTACAGGAGTGAGTATGTGTCGTACGCACTGCATCCAAGGGACGTGGCCTGTCTCGTCACTGCATCCCAGAAGCTAGAATCTCAGGGGCACTTATTAGACGCCAGATAAACATCAGGGAGTAAACGAACTGCCCCCCGCCAACCTCCCGGCCTCCGCTCCTCTGCTCACAGCCATCAGCAGCGACATGTGACAGAAATGTTGTGAGGACTCCCCTTGCCCAGATCGCCAGGGCTCAGCCTTGCCCAGATCGCCGGGGCTCAGCCTTGCCCCAGCTGCCTCCGCCACTGTTGGGGCTTGTCTAGGGCCACTTGGGGAGGCTGCGCTGCAGTACCTGGGTAGTAAAGCCCAGGGACTAGCATTGGGTCATCAAAGATTGGAGAGACTGGTGTCCACAGAGTTGCCCGTCCCACACCAAGTGGCACCTCCAACGGAATGGAGCCTCAGGGTGGCTCACACAGGCCTGTGGAGGGTGGGTGGGCCCCCAGCTGGCACGGAGCCTCTGGTCAGGGAGCAGGCAGGGCCTGATTGAAAGGGCTGGGCAAGTCCCTCTTATGACGAAAGCTGATGCCAGTGGACGCTGGGAGTTTCGGGTCAGGAACGGGGGTGGGGCCAAATGGGGGGTGCACGACTCCGTCTACACCACTGCAGGGGGACGGTGCAGGAGACCTGGAATGGGTCAACCCTAGAGACCACGTGTGGGGCTCTCCGTACTGAGCAGGATCTGAATCCTGCAGGACGGGATCTGGGAAGACGGGAGTGTGCAAAGCTGGGGGCTGGGGGCAGAGGCTTTCACGTTGCATGCAGCAGTTCACCTAAGCTCCCCACGAGCATGCGAGCTGCGATCAGGATTCACGTCTCAGAGGTGAGGAAACTGAGCCACGGAGAGTCTGACAGCAGGAAGTCCCAGACCCACCGTCCTCCAATCCTCCCTCCCCTGGAGCCCCCAGTACAAGCCCCAGTCAAAGAGCCGCCGGCCACCGCTCCCCTCCCTGGGGTCTCCAGGGGCAGCTGGAAAAGGATTGTCCCCAATCCCAGTCCCGAAAACGGAGCTGAGCGCAGGCAGGAGTGAGGGGACCACGGGGCATCCAGAAGGGCCTCCAGGCTCCGCTCCCCAGACGGTCCGCTGTGGGCACCCCGCGGAGCTCGGGGTCCTGCCGCCCGCAGCGTCCGCATCGCAGGGCGCCCCTGGCCCACAGCAGGGCCGCAGGTGTCGGCCCCGTCCTGGCACCCCGGGACTCCGCCCCCAGGGCCCGGCCGCGCGGGTCCTCAGGGGCTAGGGTGGGAATCACACCCCTGGAGCTGGAAGCTCCCTGTGGTGCCGGAAATTGGGGGGCCCAGAACCCAGAGGAAGGTGCGTCCAGGGACACAGGAACCCCTAGTGCATGGGGCTGGAACCGGGGACACTGCCAGCAACAGAAGAAACACCCATGAGTCCACAGTGACTGAGCCAAAAACGGAGCAGAAGAGCATCCTGCAGAAGCTCCCATGCCTTTGAGGAGGGCCGTGTGCTCCCCATCCCTTAGCGTGGGCTGCACAGACTAACTTCCTTCCAAAGAGTGCCGCGGAGAAAGGGAGACGTCTGACCACTCGACCTCGGCTGGGATCAGTGTCACATTGACAGGGACGAGTCGCTGACGGTTCTGCTCTTGATGTGGGGGATGACAACAGCATGTCACCTCTGTGGCCTTCCTCCCGAAAACATGCCACCCCCAACTAATTACGAGAACACACCAGACAAAGGCAAACTGAGGGACATTCTACAACACCCCTGACCAGTGTTAATTCCTCAACACAGCCAAGGTCATCGAAAACCAGGAGAGTCTGAAAGATTGACACCACGGCAGCGTGTGCATGAGCGCGGCGGGCAGGCGCGAGGCGAAGAGCAGCGGGACGCCGGGCAGGGCCGGGCTGCAGGACGCCGCCAGCAGCAGGTAGAGCGTCGAGGCCGCCAGGAAGGACAGCGTGAGCGCCGCGCGCGCCCCGCGCTGGTCCGCGAACCTGGGGGCCGGGGGCCGGGTCAGGGAGGCTGGTGCGGACCTCAGTTTCCCCGGGGAGCGCGCAGGCGCAGCTGCGGGGAGCTGGGGGGTGTGTGACCCGGGGGACGGTCCGTACGACGGGACAAGGAAGGATGTGTGTGTCACAGAAAGCGTTTCCCGGGCCGAGTCCGATGGCTCAGCCTGTGTCCCCGTCAGCGTTCCAGGCCCCGCCGTTCTCGGCGTGCGCAACGCTTTCTCTTCTGCCGAAAGGTTACTCCGGAGATCTGACCCCTGCCCCGCCACCCGGTGCCGCTCTGTCCGTGGTGAGGGTGGCGGAGGACGTGTGCCGGCATGTCCCAGCCCAGCGGGGACCCCACACAGTCCCTGGAGCTCCTGCCTGAGTCCCCGCGGGTCCCGGTCCCCAGAATTGCCATTTTAATACAAGTTGACGGGGGACTCCAGCTCAGTGGGACTAGGCATTTACAGCCGTGAGATTTTCACCAATTAAAGCCTCTCTGACCACAAACCAGAATTAGTGGAAATCATGGGCTGGGACCCCCGAGAGGTCCACAAGGGGCCAACGCTCTCCTTGATTTGCCTGTCTGCAATGGGAGTGCCACCACCCTCGTGGGGCCCAGTGCGAGGGCAAGGAACCCGGCAGGACACAGCCCATGGCCTCCGAGGGGGGTCCCGGGTCCCTGTGGGGCGAGGCCCCCTCACACTTCCCTCCCCACCGTACCTGCCAAACACGGGCCCGCCCAGCAGCTGAAGCACGCCGAAGGTCGTTTGCAGGTAGCCAAAGGCGACCGAATCCAGGCCCAGTCTCCGGGACAGATACTGAAACACAGAAGGGTGCTCATGGGAAGGGTCTGGGAAGGACCCGAGGGCCTGGAATCCAGGGACCCCAGATGGGCAGAGGGTGGGAGGGAACAGGGGGCCCAGGCTCTGCTTCCCCGGGGGACTGTCCTCCTCCTCTCTTAGGTGGGAGCCACCGTGTCCTCTCGGGGTGGCAGTGCTGTACAGGCAGCTGTGGCCCCCTTCCCCTCTGTGGGTGCACCCCCATGGGCACACAGAAGCGCTGACCCCCACCACTGCGTCTTCATTCACTTAAAGCTTCATGGGGAAGACTGAGGCATTTTCCTGGCCAGTAAGAGATTGTCCCAAGCACCTTAACGACTTCCAGAAGATGGTCCATTGCCCAGCAGGTCACTGTCTGCCGCGAGAGGCCCCCAGCCCCTCAGCCCACCTTGTGAGGATGCCCGTCACGGGGGAACAGGGCTGTGACTATTCCAGAGAACCTGAGGAGTCCTGAGGACCTCAGGCCCCCACCTCGTCCTGCCCGATTCCTCTGTGACTTCAGTAGCCCCGGAGCTGCTCTGTCCCTCATGCGGGCCTCTGAGTTCTTGACTCTCCCACTTATTCTGGACTGGATTGTGTCTCTCCAAATTCATACGTTGGAGTCCTGAGCCCGTTGGAGTCCTGAGCCCCGGTACCTTGGAATGTGACTGTATTCGGAAATAGTGTCTTTATGGAGATAATCAAGGTAAAGTGAGGACGTTAGAGCAGGCTCTGATCCCATGCGACTGGTGTCCTTATTAGAAGCGGAATTTTGTACACAAACAATTGAAGAAGGAAGACATGGGAAAAAACACGTGACATTGGAGGCAGAGACTGGAGCGATGTGGCCACAAGCCAAGGAATGCCCGGGCTACCAGGAGCTGGAGGAGGCAGGGAGGATCCTCCCCCCCGGGGGGGGGGGGGGGGGGGTCAGCGCGAGCATGGCCCTGCCACCCCTTGACCTTGGACTTGTGCCTCCAGAGCTGTGAGACAGTGCACTCCGGTGGCTCCCAGCCCCAGCATGTGGCACTTTGTTATGGCAGCTGCCTCAGACAGACACTACGGCACTGCCTCCGCACCTTCCCCCGGGCCACTCCCTAAGCTCACCTGAGATCCCACTCCCCTCTCTCCCACTCACCTGGCTGGTCTGCACTGCCCCTCCCCAGTGAAGATGAAGTCCCGAGGGCCACCAGTAATCCCCTAATCTCCATCCCACCCCGCAGACTCTCCTGCCTCCTTCTGGCTTCAGCTTCATCCAACTCCCTTTGGGCTGGGGGAGCCAGGACCACGCCCCCGTCCCCCCAGATCCTCTCTGTCTGTGAACTTCACCAGATGATCATCCTGAATTCTCCTAGCGAGTCCGAGATCCCACCATATCCCACGTGTCCCTGCCTCCTCCTTCCATCCCCACCCCTGCTGCTGTGATGATACTGAACGTCCCATCCCCACACCTGTCCGCCTGCCCACCTGTCTCACCTACCTGAGTCACCCTCACTGCCTGCATCACATCCCAGCCTCTCCTCCAAAGCTTCTCCCTGCCCCCTCTCTCCACGGTCCCCTCCTGGGGGAGGGCTCCCACTTGTGCCTGCCCTTGTCCTGTTACTTCTCGCCTTCTGCTGACCCCTCCCTCCAGCCACCTGTGCAGAGCCCGCTGCCTCCTCGGATTCCACCTCTTCTCCTCCTCTCGCCACGGCCACCCACCGAAGCATGTGCTCCTCCTACCTTCCCCGAGGTCACCGCTGGCCTCCAGCAGTCGGCTCTGGCACACTCCCACTTGAGTGGCACCTGCCTCCGTGGCTCCCCCGCCTCTTCCCTGACCCTTGTCTGCTCTGGACTGTCTTGGGTCACCTGCTGGTTCCTCCTGCTCACCCCGACCTCCAAGCTTCCCTTCACTCCAGGGAAACCCACCCCGATAAGCACCTCCAAGCTGTGGCGTCCTGGAGAGATGCAGCCCCAGGACCTCTGTCCTGAACTGCCATGCATCCGCCCCCTGCGGCTCGCCACTCAGCGTCTGAAATCATCTTGAACTCGGCACATTCAGAACCGGGCTCCGTCTTCCCCCAAAGACCAACCGGCTCCTCCTGAAGCTGCCTCTTCCCCATTGCTGATGCCTCCGTCCTTTCAAATCCTCAGAGTCACCTCTGTCCCCTCTTTCTCTCACACTTACATCCCATCCATCCATCGGCAACAGCGCCGATTGCAGCCACTTCTCGCCTCCTCCACAGCTGCTCCCATTGGATCTGTGCGCACCGGGGTCATGGCCCCTCTGTGACCTCAGCCCTTCTCTGCTCCAGTCCCTCCCCTCCAGCTGCGCTGGTCTCCTGCGACCCCATGGCCTTTGCACTGGCTGTACCTCTCCCGCTCCCTTCAAGCCTTTGCTCCAGTGTCACCCTCTCCGTGAGGTTTCCTGACCCCAAACCCTGCCCATCCTCAGGTGCTCGGTCCCCTCCCTCCCTACCGCTGCTTTTCCCACTGCACATCTAACCGTGTGTTATGTTTCCTGAGGGTGGCTGTCGCCCTCACACCATGCACACTCGCCTGCCAGCTCCAAGGGCCATGTTTAGTCTGTTTTGCACTCTGCTCTGCTCCAGGTTCTGAGAACAGGGTCTGCCCCAGGCGCTCAGCACGGCTTTGTTGGATAAATGCTGGGGCGGCAGGTGCATCCGCACCCTGCCCTGTGGTCCATGGTTCTGAGGGCTTTAACTGTCCACTCAGGCCTCCCAAGCCAACCCTATCAGGGAGGGACAGTTAATAGCCATTTTAGGATGAAGGAAACACAGGACTTGACCCTAGCCCATTTGGTGGGAGTGCGCTGGCTTGGGAGGCCTGGTGGGGAGGAGGTCCTGGGGCTCACCGTTTGGCTGGGAGCCCCTGCCATGCCCGGAATGGTGACTAAGGCCAATGCCCACTTTCACGCAGGCTGTGAGGGCCGAGAGGAGGGGGCAGTGTCTGAGCCCAAGCTGGGCTTCCCAGGAGCAAACATGAAAGGCTCCATGTTGGCCCTGCCCCTGCCTGCGCTTCTGGGTGATGGGTAACTTTGTTCCCAAGTGTCTTGAGCCTCAGATCCTGGGGATAATGCGAGTGGGGGACTGGCCTCAGTTAGGGCCACTGTGGGCCCAGCCTACTGACCACGTCAGGGAACTCACTCGGAGTGGGCACCAGCCCTGCCGTGGCCCCTACCCTGCCTGGAGCCAACATCAGCAGATCACCTCAGCAAGCCTGGGCCCTGGCTGCTCACGAGGGTCTCCAGGAGAACTTTTAAAAGTGGCCAGCAGCCGATGCCACGGCCCCACACAGAGCAGAGAGAACAGAACCTCCGGGGCTCTGGGTTCTTCCAGACTGTCCTGGATTGTTGCCCCAGAGGGTGAGACCCTACGAGCTGCTCCCACAGACGTTCATTGAATGAAGAAACAAGAGTGAAAAGGTGAAGAAATGGGGGGTAGGGTGAGGAATGGGGGTCACTGGGTGGCCAACAAAGACTGTCGTGAGCCAGGCCACTTGGCCAGAGAAGCTGCCAGATCAAGCCCCTGCCCTCATGTTCTGGTGGGGGAGAAGATGACCAAATACACATGGAATAGGGTGCTGCGTGTGGCAAGCTGGGCAAGAAGCTGAGGAGCAGGAGGGGACAAAGGTGAAGTGACACTAAGGTGCCAGGCAGATGTAGGGAAGGCCTCCCCAAGAGAGTGACCTGAGCAGAGGCTTGAGTGCAGCCAGGACATGAGCTGAGCAGGTGTAGAGGCAGGGGGTCCACAGGGTAAAGGCCCCAGGTGGGAGGCAGAGGACCAGCTGGGGTGGCCAGGTGCAGGGATGCTGTACTGGAGGCTGGCGGCAGCAGGGGCTGGGGGGCTCCTTGCAGCTTCCCCCCAGGGCCGTCGGTGCAGCCAGAGCCCGGGATGTGCTGATGGGGGGATCAGAGGCAGAGTCCCTCGGTCCCTTAACTTGCTCGGCTCAAGAGTGGTGTGGGCCCCAACTGGGAGGGGCCCTGGCAGCATTGAGTCCCTCCCCTGTCCCCTGCTACCGCCCAGATAGAAAGGAGGAAGAGTGAGGGCAGGTTGCTGGTGCAGGCTGCCTGGGGGTGGGGTGTTACTCACGGGCACAGTGGAAAACTGCATGAAGAGGCAGGTGAGCTCCAGGGCAGCCAGCACGTAGGTAAGCAGAAGAAGCCAGGGCCGGCTCAGCGTGGCCGTCCTGCTGGGGAAGTGGCCCTGGCTCTCGGGGGCTCTGATACCATGCATCCTGGGCAGGCGCTGCAGGGAGACTGGGAGAGATCCAAACAGTAGGCTGGTGGAGCAGAGGGCAAAAGTCCTGTTGATCTGGGCACAGGTGCTGAGTCACCAGGCTGGAGGCAGGCACACCCGGCCTGACCTCGCTTGGAGGAGCTGGCCTGTGGGCATTCCAGCCACCTCGACCTCAGAGAATGTGTCAGGTGGCCCTCCCCCTCCACATCTGACAGCTCCTGGTCTTGGGCACACAGCCTCCATGGGAGGGGAGACTGGGACACCCCACACACAGTGCACCAGGCACAGTGCCCCAGGTGCCTCACACAGGGAGGCACCAGGTCACGTTTTTGGAGTGAAACAGACACGGAGTGGCTACTGACTGCAGCTCAGGTCAGTGCCTCCTGTGGGCACTGAGCTGACTTGTGTCCCTGTGCACCCTCCCCCAACACAGGCCGCTGTCAAGGGAAGGCCTACTTTTCTCTGGGACCTCCAGCCAGAGCACGAGGGGCTTCTGGAGCGGTGTGTGCAGCTCAGTCTTCCTGCTGCCCCAGGGAGGGCAGCTAGGCCTCTCGCCACCCCACCTACAACAGGCAGGAACCAGGTTTTGCAGCTGCACTGAGGCCTTTGGGGCGGGGCAGGGCGGGGTGATCGTGCAGAGTGCTGGGAGCTGTGCACTGCCGCCCCCTCCCATCCGGAGGTGCGGGGAGGCTGGGGGAGCCCGCAGCCCCAGCAAGCACGTCGGGGCACCTCCCTGGGCAGAGGCCGGACTCCGCGCGGGGGTTCAGGAATGAAGGGCAGGGGTGAACTTGGACACGGTCCCAGTGTGAGCCCTCCTGGGGTGACCTGGAACACCTTCCGTTCTAGGGTGAGCTCCAGCCCGCCTTTTCGGTGTGACCTGGCACCATCGCCTTCCTGGTTGAGTTCCGGCCCCGCCCTCCCGCGGTGACCTGGCACACTCGCCCTCCCAGGGTGAGCTTCGGCCTTGCCCTTTCGGGGTGGCCAGGGACCGGGACCCTCCGTCTGAGGCTCGGCCCCCGCCCTCGGCCCCGCGGTCGCCGAAAGCGCGGTCCG